AGCCATTTTGGTTTTCTTTCCTCTTTGAACCCTCGAAGGAGGTAATCACGGTTCTCACGATACAGCCCCGAAGTCACGGTCTCTTTCTTTACTTCGTGCTCTGACACTAGTCCTCAAACAAGGCCGTATAAGTAAAGTTGTATCGATAGGTCGCTCCCCTGCCCTTTTCTGGCCCGATCTGCACCGGTGAACAATGATCAGGTTAGATCAGACAGCTTTTGACGGCCCAATCCCCCTACTCCAGGTCCGAGTCGGACGAGACCTCCACACATCGACAAATCACCCCCCCTTCATCATACACAAATTGTTTTTGGCATATTTTTGTCAGATCCGTCGAACAGCTAAGCGACGAGCATACGCACCCTATCTCTTTTGTCGTTGTGCCCCGTTTACAAACGACACCGCCCGCCACACCTCGTCACATCATCAACCCCCTCCCCCCCACACCCTCCGCCCTCACCACACGCCTCTCCCATGTCACACTATCGTAGAAGGTTGTTCAACCTACCTTCTCTCAAGACGAGCAGTGATCATCCAACTGGTTTCTTTTGGACACCCACTTTCTTTCCTACTGACCTTTTGGGCATGATTATTTTAGGGTTTGGGTCTTCTTTTGCTGGAAATACTTCTCAAAGCTCGATTTGCGCGATAATCACCGTTCAATTCATCGGTTGATCACTGCTCTTCATACAATAAGACGATCACCTCTACTTGCCGAAGATCTTATCACTGTTTCGTCGAAATGCATTCTCAAATTTTTTCGACCACATGTTTTAATTTGTCTGAGGTTTTTGCTGGTAGGCGGAGTAGCGTCAACTATAAGGTTGAACGTTTTTATCCATGTGCCTCCCATAGTAGTCTGGTTTGCTCAGGGTTCTCCATCTCCTTTGTTACTTTTGACACTAACTTCCCCTTTGAAGGCGAACCTCCTCGACTAATACCTCTCCACGTAAATGCCATTTAGAGTCGCTCGACCTTTCTGCCTTGGTAGTGTGCATCAACCTTTTTCGACCTCAGGCTTTGCTACCTTTTAATGAAAACTTAGTTGACACATTTCATATCACCAAGTTTCATTTCTATGGAAGAACTCGCTAGGGTTTATATAGGGAAACGTCAATAGTCTCTGATAGGTGGGCTAGCCCGTACCAACCAAAGACGGAATAGGTTTTATTTTTACCATACTAATCTATGTTAGTTCGCTCGACTCAAAATAAAAAAAACAAACAAAAACAGGCGCATTCTATTGAGAAAAAACTGGAAAGATGAAGATTGACAATACAAATATGGAGTATCACTTATCGCAGACTAATCACAACCAGAAAAGCACATAATAAGTATATAACGCTGGGTTGAGTGGACATGGGTTACAGTGGAATAACTTCCAACCACACTGGAGAGATAAGAATGCCCCCAGCACCGGGGTAGAGGAAGAGGAGAAAGGAATAATGGAAGGGGTAGAGACTCGTCCTCATCAGGCTTGAGAGGAATGTTGGAGGAAGGGGCATGGGAGCAAGGTCGTTAGGAAGAGGGCATGGGTCAGGTTGGGCAAAAGACAATCAATTGCCCCATCCAGGGGGCAAATAGTATGGAGGACAAAGGAGGGGGGAAAAAACCCCAATGGGTCAACTTCTGGCCAACGGAGGATTCTTTTGAGGACTTAGAGGATGAAAAAAAGACAAGGATTGTGGAGAAAGAAGGGTCAGTGGGAGGATCAGGAACACAGGGGGGGACAAAAAAGACAATACCGAGAATTTAGTGGAGGAAGTGAGAAGGATATTGGACAAGTGTTTCGACAGGTTGGTAATCCCAGACATGTCCAAATTTGCCAGATTTGAGATAATAGGAAACACAGTTAGTATGACGGTCCCGCCTGGAGTAGAAAAAATACAAATTAGCTAGATGAACGAAAATGCAGTTGTGTTTTTTTTTTAGGGCAATTTCAAGTCAATGTCGGTAGAAAGGAAGGAAGAGTGCATTATAAAATTTGAAGATGCCTACCGACCAAGCCACTCCAAACACCTACCCACCGATTCACTCCAAGCACCTACCGACCGAACCACTCCAAGCATTTACCAACCGAGCCACTCCAAACACCTATCGACCGAGCCTCTCGAAGCACCTATCGACCGAGCGACTCGAAGCACCTACCGACCGAGCCATTACAAGCATCTACTGACTGAGCCGCTCCAACCACCTACCCACCGAGCCACTCCAAGCACCTACCCACC